GAGAGATAAAAAAAGTTTAATTTAAATGATTTCAATAAAAAATTTGTATTCAGAGATTCAACTATAAACATACTTTGATATTAATTTAGTTATAACTAAACTTTAAGTTGAAGAAGGTTAAGAAACCTTGGATAAACATGAGATTTGATGTAGTTAGTGATGTTAGTTTTCACAAAGTTAAATCAGTACTCTGGTCTGAAGAATAATATTTAGCAAACCAGAAAACCTTAAAAACAATCGTTTGGGCATAACAGATTTGAAAAACATATAAGACATAAAAAATTATAACATAATAAAAGATCAGCAAAGATAAGCTTGAGGATTTGATGTTTTTGGAAAACTTGGTTGGAGTAAGTAAGTTCATATTTAGGACAGAGGATATTAAGTTTAGTAGAATGGTTAAACTTTAAACTGAAAAAATTTTAGAAGATATTTTTATTATTTATTATTTCAGTTAAAATTGATTATTTTTTTGCTTACTGGCAGCAGAGAGTAACAGAAAGAAAAAAAGAACAAAGAAAGGCAATCAATAGAGTTTAATTAACTCAATTCTGAATCAATTCTGATTCGTGGCTTAAAATAAACCGTTTTTAGTCAGGATTTTCACAAGGAAAGAGTGATACAATGGTGCTCAAATTTTTTGGGAGTTAGTTTAAGCATATTTGCTTCAAATTTAGATGGTTTGGTTTTTTAAAATCAAAAGTTTTTTTTTCTAAACACCCCTATCGTATATCTGTTGGCCTATATAATATAACTTACTGAATCAATTTTTGCGTGCTTAAAATTGTATTGTGTATTAAAATAGATATAACATTTTTTAATTTGAGTTAAAAATAAAACTGCAGATTAAAAAAAGGTTTTTCTGTTTTGATTAAAAGTCTTTTTTAAAAAAGGTTTTTTATAAAACCATTAAAAGATTCCACCTCGGGAAAAACAGAAAATATCTTTGGAAGCTTTTCAAACTTTTTCACATTGAATAATCTTTTCTTACCGCTCTTTTGTTCAACTTTTGCGCAATCTTACTTAAAAAAGTGCCTATAGAACTTTTTTAGGTACTGTCTAGAGCAGCGGCTAGGTTCACCCAGACTCACCTATTAAGGAGGGGGGGGGGAGGGAAGGAATTTTGGGGGCATATTTTGCAAATTTAGAGGTCTTTTTGCAAATGTAAGGGGCTTTTATACCAATGCTTTTATTTACTCATCGTCACTGATTGTTTGTCTGTGAGCATCAAATCTTGTAATAAATCACTTCCTGATGATAGATTTTCTTCAAATTTTGCATACATACTCTAGCTTGATGACAATACAATATTCAATAACTAGTTTTGTAATAAGTCAATTAATTTAGTAAATTTTAATTAAGTTTCTTTTTTTTATGGAAAAAATAATAATAATTTTTAAAATAAGTATATTGATTGTTTTATTACTTATATGCACATTTAGCATATTTAGATATGGTGTTGACTTTGTAAACGGAATGTCTGTAGTTCAAGACCCATATCTTATTAAACTTTTTTGTTTTTTTACACAAGCATACAACCGAAAATAAAACAGTAATATCAGAAAAAATTGATTGCAAAATTTGTGTATAACATTGTGTATAACAGATACAGTAAAAGTATACAAATTGTTGAATAAGAAACAAGCAAGAATGAGTTTTGTTTTATTGTAATAGAGATGATAGCTTGTTTGAGCATTGATCATGATTGTATTTGTAGAAAAAAGAAAGGCAACCTTAGAACAATGGGAGAGTGGCTTAAGCTTGGGAGATATAGCAGGTCTAATTACAATTATAATTTGCATTTAGACTTTGTCTGAGGATAAGTAGGTTACTATATAACAATATAGGAATGCCAACAATATTGCAATTTTTTTGCACTAAACAAATCAGTTTTGTTGTCTAATAAAAGTTGTGGATTTTAAATCCAGACTTAAAAGCCATAAGCCACTGCAAGCCTTAGACTGTTACAAAAAAAACTGAAGACTTTTTGTCAAGAGACGAGTATTAAGTTGAGTCGTCAGGAAATAGAGCTACTTTACATTCAATGAAGATCGTTATTGTAGATAAGTAACAATATAGGAGTCTTAAAGTTACTTAGAATAAAGAAGATGGTAGGCCTTAATTAACAACTTTACTACTGCAGTTAGAAAAAAAAACATTTAATAACCTCAAAATCTTTATATGAATAAACTAATAAGATAGAAAAAGCTATTTGTAGGATAGTTGGAGAGGTCAAAGTGTTTTCTAGAGTTTTAAAAAATTAGAACCACTTAATTAGCACATTATAAAAGTTTAGCAACAATTGATGAGAGTTTTGGAGAACGCTTTTTGAACTATGATGGAAATCTATTATGAAGCACAAACTGTAGAAGTGTTTAATTAAGAATTAACTTTATCATTGGAAGCCATTGGAAGAGTGATTTGGATAACAATGATTTAATCTGTTCAAGTGTTAGGAAGAGTATGGCTATTATATTCAAGAGTCAAATAAGGATAAGATTTCTTTGCAAATAAATCTGCTTTATTTTGTGGAGAAGTAAAAAAAAACACATGAACTAAAGATTAAATGTTAGACTTTAGTTAACGACAATGTTGAAGACTATTCAAAAGTCTCTGAAACCAAACATCTGAAAAAGATACAAGATTTAGTAAACTGAGAATAACAGAGCTTAACATCAGACAAGACTTTTTTACATTAGCTTTTTGCAATAATAAAAGGAAATTTGTTCTTAAGAGAGAGAGATGTTCTTGTAAAAAAGATGAAAAAAAAGCATTATTGTTTAATAAGCAACTGCTCAAGATGGTGAAAAATGTGGAGTAGAATGAGGCTTGAGTTAAAATTGAAGAGAAGTAATAAAAGCTTCCAAACATTTATTTCAGAAAAGCTAAAAGTTTCCTAGATGCATTTTATGCATACATATTATGGATATAAACATATCTGATTACTATTTATTTAGATGCAGGCATACAACAACCTTTTATTGTTATATAAACTTTAGAATTACTTATGGAATAAGTAATTCTAAAGTTTATATAACAATAAAATTTTAGAACTTACTATGGAATAGTTTTTGTGAAAAGTAAAAAACGATCAGATGAATGTGTGGTGTGACTAAACAGATGGATGTGTGGTATGACATAAAAAAAAAGGCATAATTATAGACAGATTCAACAAAACATTGTATTGAACAATGTTAAACAAAGATAAAGTAATTTAAGCATCAGCATATAGAGATGTAGCAGCTTCAGTAAAAAATGGTAGTGGAAGAAGGAAAACTTAAAGAGAGTGCCTTACATATTTTATGAATGAGCTTTAGTTAAGAAAAAAAAAATGCAGGGATGCATTCAAAAAATTGGTTATTGATGGAAAACCTAAACATGTAATTAAAAGAATGAAAAAAACTCGAGCAGTATTTAAACTTGCTTTTAGGTACTGTAAAAATCATACTGAGTAAATTTAAGCTGACAGAGGTTACAGAGAATATCATTAATGTAAAGGCAATCAATCATGTTGCTAGTATTGGCAGAGTTACTGGTGACAAGGACATTGCCAATATAAGAAAAAAACATTTTCAAGCAATATATAATTTACTTAATGATAACCAGCATAGTATAGAATGTATAAAATACAGGTTGAGCAAAAAGTGTATTCTTTATTACTAGATATACCTGTTAGAGTTACTATTATAGATGGAACTAATCCTTTGTATAAGCAAAAAAAGAGAAAATCTGCTGGACCAGATGGCTTGTTTATGGAATCATTTATATATGGAGGACATAGACTGTCTCTTTATCTAAGTATTTTTTTTAATTTATGCTTGTTGCATGGACATTTGGCATTAACCTTCTTAAGCCACGATAATTATTCTAGTAAAATCTAAAATCGGAGACTTAACAGATGTAAATAATTACAGAGTAATTGCAATCTCTCCGGCTTGTTCTAAAATATTTGAAGGTATTTAATTAGAAAGAATCATATCTCATGAGAATGCTGATTATTTTCAGTTTGGTTTCAAGAAAAGTCATTCCACAATGTCTTGTACATATTGTTTAAAAAAGACAGTTAAATACTTTATTTCTAGAGGAAGCCATGTATTTGCATGCTTTATAGATTTTATACCATTAATAATTGAAAACTGTTTTTTAAATTAATTGATCAGGGTATTGCCATAAACGTTGCCTATCTACTTGCATTTTGGTACAAGAATCAAACTATGTTTGCCAGATGGCAGAAAGTAAACTCTGGTGTGTATGTTATTTAACCCAAAACAGAGATGTAATAATGTGTCAAGCAACTTTGCACTGTTTACCTTAGCAAAAGATGTGAATTAGTTTCATTGACAAATTCAAGTATCTGGATCACATAATAGAAAATGGTTTGTTTGATAATGCTGATATAAATCGAGAGATAAAATGTCTTTATACGGGTACAAACATTAATTAGACGATTCAAGAAATGCTTGATTAAGGTAAAAGTGCAACTACATATGACCTACTGCCTCTGTTTTTGTGGCTCTATGGACTAATTTTAGTGCAAATACTATGTCAAAGCCAGACTCTTGTTACAAGAAATGTGCTAAAATGTTTTTTGGATATATTTTAAGAAAGAATATACATACATAAAGATTTGTGTTAAGCAACTTGTGCAGAAAAAAAGAACATTGACATATTTATTTAAATTTCCCTAAAACAGTTGCTAAATATTGTTAAACACACCAAATAAAAAAAAAAAGTAAATCATATCAATAAAAGTAAATCATATCAATAAAAGTAAATCATATCAAATGTAGAGAATGAAAGATATAAAATAGCAACTAATCAAAAAAAAAAATAAAAAGCTTAAAAGAAAATAATATAAAAAATATTTTTATGATAAAAATATTTTGATAATTATATGTTTTCTCTTTAAAAAAAAATGACATTAAACAAAATTTGTACATTTGTACATATGTATATTTATCAAAAATGCACCAAAGTTTAATAACAAACTACTTACTTACCCAAAATAGGAATCAAAAGTGAAGACTCCTCTTTTGATTTTTTAGAAGGATTCAGGTTAACAAGAAACTTTAATATAATATTTTGGTTTTTATTGCTTAATCCACAAATCATTGATAAACAACTCTTCAGCTTTTTATTGGCCATAATCTCTTCAAAGCTTAAACAATTGTATGCATATACAGATGCACAAAACTCCATTACAGTCAAATGTGCAAATTGGTAAAAATAACCAAGATGTGTTTCAACCCTTTCAATAAAACCAAAAAGACTTTCATCAACTTCATTAAAGTTATTGATAAATAGTAAAACTTCTTCTTTTGAAAAAATAAATTTATTTTCAATAAACAATTCAAAAGCTATCCTACAAATGGTTAATACATATTTCTTATTATTTTCATTTGCCATCATTTCATAAACCAATACATTGTTTTTGATAATGTGTTTTTGCAAAAAGTATAAAAAAATATTTGCATACAATTCTGTCATCGTTAAGAAAGAAGTTGTATATATTTTGCTTGAATCACTAATAATTTTACACATGGAAGATAAATAAAATGGAACAGTTGCCATAACTTTTGCAATTGGAGACTCCTTTAAAGTTGCTTTAACAACTTCTTTTTTTTCTTCTATAACATGATTTTCTACATAATTTTCAACTCCATCTTGGTTAAACCCCATTATTTGAATGGTTAACTTATCAATATGCTCTGTATATATATTTTGGCATTTATCAATTGCATAAACTCTACCAGCAACTACATGTTTATAACTTTGAATTTCTGCTAAAGCATTAACAATCGGAAAGTTAGAACTTAAATTTGGATTTAATAATTCATTTAAATATTTAAATTCATCTAATCCATCAATTATAAACAATGTAGTATGCTTACTAATATCAAAATCATTTAAAATATCTTTGTAGAAAACATTTAGTAATTCATTAATATTTGAAACATTTTGATATTGATTAAGCCTCCTGCATTCCAAATAAAACACAAGTTCAACATTATTCCAAATTAAATTATTCGACCAATCGAGCAAACACTTTCTGAGCAACCATGTTTTTCCAATACCAGCTATTCCAGATATTAATATTACTGATTTTTCGTTCATAAATATTTCACTATATGGAATTGGTGTATAACTCATTTGCTTTTCAAGAAATTGCTTTCGTTCAACTCTACAAACAACATCCATTTGAGCATTATGTGCATCAACAATACATAGATCAACAAATTTTTGTATTAGATCAACATTAGCAGGTGTTTTTAATAGTGGTTGAAGTTCATTTATTTTGCCATAATATTTCAGATAATAATTTTTTAGTGCTGTGCATACCTCTGATATATCTAAACATCAATTATCATCATCATCATCATCTGTAACTTTTGATTTATTTATTATTATTATATAATTGTTATTATATTAC